AAAGTGCTTTCAGCAGCTCCTTCCTCTCGGTTCCAGTCTTAAACTCGGCCAGATACCTGTGGTAATCACCCTTCATTTAAGGTAAAAGACTTTCGACTCGGCAGAGAAGCAGAGGGAATGAGATGTGACTCAAGAAGGCTCAGAATCCCATCACAGATCTTGCTAAGCTCGGACTCAATCTTGCCCCTATACTCCTTGATTATTGTAACATGATCTTCATTTCCCCTACTTTCTTCTTTTTGCTCAATGGAAGAGATGATCCTCCATGAAGCTCTTCTAGCCCCAATCACATTTTTGTAAAGCTACAGAAAGGAGATTCCTTTCCTCCACGGTTAGCTCCTCGACATCCACAGTTTTTGCAACTTTCTCCATAAACTCCACCATTTCTTCATAACGTTCAGCCTGCTCAGCCAACTTGGCCATGTAGACATTTTCCTCTCGCGATGATTCAGTTGGCGACATCTTTGCTTATAAATAAAACGTAATTCTGCACGTTGATAACAAATTACTATTTTCCTAGATAGACTGTGTAACTGAGATGTCACAAGGTAACAATCTCTTTGACACACTAAATACTGTCTTCCAGTTCCGAAACTTAGTCAACGGAATATTCAAAAGATCATTAACTAGTTGCTTGAGAATTCAATGAAGACAGCATAAAACTAAGTTGCTAAAATCTGATATGTACCTATGTTTTACCCACAAGACAACTGCTGATTCCCGAATAGAAAAGCATAATAAAAGGATGATACCAAAATTCATTACCAATATAAAACCTATTTCGCGCCTTCATAACAGTTAGGCAAAACGTCAATTCCCGCAGAAAATGTATTAACCATAACACTACAGAAAATATAAAAGTAGTTTTTCTTTTTTTTTTTCTCTTGAAAGAAATAGAGTAACACATCAAATCTGAATCTCTTGTTTATTTTCTTAAAAATACTCAAACATATTCTATATCTCTTAATCCAGGGAAAGAAGCAGTCAAATAGTCGTTTAAGATCATTTCCACCGAAGATCTCCGCATTACGAGTCTCAACATCGAAGAAACCATAGCAGACGGACAGATAATTCCGACAACCAAACAGATCGTAAAAAAATAATAAAACAAGTAGATCAACCAAACACACCGTCAAATCAACAAAATAAAACCCTAATATAAACAGATCGATTCAAAAATACAACTTTAATACACGAATAGATCGACAAAAATCATAAAATCTACAGATCTCAAATAAACATGAAAAACCGAAGCAGATACCCAACAGACAAGGAAAATATCATGGAAAGGAAGAAAGGCTACAATCTAAGGAATCTTAAAGCATCAAGAACATAGAAGGAGAGAAGCGGAAGCATACAAATCAAAGACAAGTCCCTCCGCTAGGGATTTGCGTGCGAATGAGTGAAAACGAAAATGAGGGAAGCGAGGAAATGAGGAACTTTAAAAAATAGAGGGGCTGGGGAAAATTGAGGTCCAATGGAAATACGACAAGTCTTGGGTGGCGGAGATTCCGCAGAGTGAGATCCCGCCACGCTGGCGTTGACCGTCAACGCCACCATCCCTTGTTTCTGTGGTGGCCCTGCTTTCGGACGGTGCTTTTTTTTTTTTTTTTTTCTTTTCCATTTTTAACCAGCTTGTTTGCTTTTCAAAAAAATAATAATAATTAATTAAAAGAAATTTCACAAGTTATTTTTAGCAAAATTGTTTATTTTATTTCCTAACTAATTATATACTTTTTATTTTATTCCTCAACCAATTATATTGATATAATGATATAATATTTTAATATATTAATAATTTTTTATATATTAATTATTTTTTTAACGGTAAGCTAACTTTTAAGTTAATTGTGAGTAAAAAAAAAAAAAAAGTCATATTAGTCATATGTATATAATTATTTGTGGGTTGATTTATCATATTTTTAATTGTATGATATGATTGTAATATATTTTGGATTCCTTAAATTTGATTCATTAATGTTATAATTTTTATTGAGTTTATTAATTTATTTATTTTAATTATATAAGTTTTGTGTAGTTGTGGAAATTTTGTCTTATTGGAATAAAATAAAATAAAGTATATAACTCGTGGTTAACATTTATATATAATTTACAATATATAATCTAAATTACATACTCATTTTTACTCTTTTTAATTATTGATTATATAAAAAAATTATCTCTATTAAGTAAAAAATCATTGATCTCGATCTATTTCGTCATGATAAATTTAGATACGTTTATGATTTATTAGTTAAATTTACGCGAATTTTATGTTTTAAATTAAAGTTAGAAAAAAAAAATTTCAAAATTTCCACATGTTTGACTAGACTTATTCTATATAAGTTTATAACATGAATAATTTATAAACTATGTATTATTTTTGAAGTACTTATAATTTGTATTATTTCATTTATATGTTCACAAATATATAATTTATATATGATGTGAGTTATGTTAAAATAATAATTAAAAACCACAATTTTATTTTTTTAAAAAAATATATATATCATGTATATATATATATATATGTTATAATTTTAATGGATAACTTAAATTTTGACTTAGTCAAAACAAATAAAAAATAGAAATTATTAATTTAATAAATAAATAACGGAAAATATAAATAAAATTATCAAATTGTCAGCCCAACCCAGGAAAATCATGCATCGAGCCGAAGAAATTAAGATTGAGCAACCCGCGGGTGAGGTAAATTACCTCACCGACGTTCTTTTAACTCTTTTAGTTCCTCTCTCTTGATCCCCATTTGAGTCCGCGAGTTAATCTTTTACTCATCTTTGAACTGGCAAATTGTCGTCTTCGCCAGGAAATTTCATACATATCTGTCAATGGGGTACGTACAGGAGGCTCGCGAGAATCATGTGAAGAAGAAAGTAGAAGAAGGTAACGTCATGCTACACCCTTAAAACCCTAATTAAAACCCACGGCTGCCTTGGTCGTCGAGAAATTCTTAGAAACTGAATGAAAGTAACACTGCATAAAAAGCTAGTGCTGGATTTTTTTTACATTCGTGCTTGTTTGGTTTGTTGAGTTTGAAAATAGCTTAAGGCAGAAGTCGAGAATTTCTGCCAACTGTTGATTTTCACATATTTCTCTGTGTTTACCGTATCGAATTCAACAATGTATTTCCAGCTTTACGAAGTAAAATGAAGCAGAAGGCGTTAAAGGAATGCGATCATTACACTTCAAAATACGCTCAGTGTGCGGCTGGAAGAACAATTTCTGTTGTATGGCAATGTCGAAAGCAAGCTAAAGAATTAAATGATTGCCTTCATCAATTGTAAGTTCTTATGACCTTTTTTTAAAAAAAAAATTATGCACGCCGGAGATGTTGGAATTTGTTGTGTCGAATCGTTGTTTGGAATTAATGGAAACCCATTCGGTTTAACGTGTTCTGACAAAGTTGGAATCTGTGCTTGCGGAGTCACTTTATTAAAGTTGTTGTCATTTTAGCTCGGTTTTACGTATAAACTGCATTCTTCTTCAGAATGATGGACTTGTTGATGTCTTAACAATAATGATTGTTTTGTCGGTTTCATAGCCTTGTTTTCAGATTCGGTTTCACTTTATTTTGAGACTTAGATTCTTAGGCCAGAATTTAAATGGTTACAAGTTTTCAGCCATTTATTCTAAAAGTGAACTGCCGAAGATTTGCACTAGAGAAATTGTTAACAAGAATGGTGCTGATTTTTTCTTTTCATCTTGCACCTCTCTACTTCAGTCTTGTACAAAAATGTTTTTATGTTCTTTTCATATTCTGTCGTGTTTTACATATTTATACTTGTGCTTAATCTAGTGAGGTCCTTTGGCACAGAGATCTGCGATGTATTATCTGGCATGTCTGATACACCAGACTTAGCAAAGTACTACAGGATTTACGTAAAATATTAGCTGATTTTGGATGTATTCTCCATATGTTGATCTTCAGCATGCTACCTTCTAATTAATATGATGCATAATTAATAGCTATTGGGATTTTCAATGAGGAAGTCTTGAAACTTAGCACACATAGTATCAGAAATATCTGTTCTGCGGATAACCTTGGCCGCATATCATCTGATTACATGGCGGTCAGCAAGTATCTTCTAAAAACCAAGTTTTGGTAACAAGGAAATTATTCGATAATGTATGGAGTCATGTATTTTTTTTTGCTTTTAGAAGTTTGTTGTCTTCAAGGTGTTCCTAACCGTGAAATACTAGGCGCACAGTGACTGATGTAGCACAAAATCACAGTCTATCTTAGTGTTCTTCTGGTTCCTCTAAAATGGAATTTACATGCTTTCTAGCTGCATGACACCTTAGATTGTTCTCTGATGGTAATAGGGATTATCAAAGTGCTTTCTCTCTTACAAGCAAGTTCCATATTTAGGCAATTCGTAGTAAAGAAGCTGAATCAAAGAAAAGGACTAGATAAATGGAAAAGAACCAACAATCCGTCCACTTTTATCTTTTACTGCTTGTGAATGCACATCAGTTCAGTGACTGATGTAGCACAAAATCACAGTCTATCTTAGTGTTCTTCTGGTTCCTCTAAAATGGAATTTACATGCTTTCTAGCTGCATGACACCTTAGATTGTTCTCTGATGGTAATAGGGATTATCAAAGTGCTTTCTCTCTTACAAGCAAGTTCCATATTTAGGCAATTCGTCGTAAAGAAGCTGAATCAAAGAAAAGGACTAGATAAATGGAAAAGAACCAACAATCCGTCCACTTTTATCTTTTACTGCTTGTGAATGCACATCAGTTCAGTTGCTGTGCAAGAACCAAGGCTTGTTCTGTTGTGCATAGACAATAACAAAAGAAGATGATTCTGAAGTATTTTTTAGTTCTAGGCCTTTTTTCTTAATGAATTTTAAGGTTTCATCATTTAGTCCCCTAAGCTTTAGATACTAACAATAAAATGTTCTTGCTGTTTTTATCACTCCTCGCGGGCAAAATGTATCCTGTTGACAGTCATTCATATAAATGATATCACCTTGACTGAGGTGATTATAAAAATTTCTGAGAATTTTTGGATCTGCAAAGTTCAGAATATATGAGAGGATATTGTACATTTTGTTTTTGCAGCACCAATGATGTCGTCTTGGAAGAAATGAAGAGAGATTACATGCTCCACGAAGAGAGAAAAAGCTCGGGAACAGTCTGACTTCGTCGACCATCACGGTCGTTTAACTGCCTCTAATTTATACTGCCAGTTAAAACTCTCTCTAGGGTTGCCTCTTCTTATGCAACTGTGCTATGTCTTCACATAATGGCTTCACATATTTTTTCAGTTAAGTTGCATATTTGTTTCGGGCACTGCTGCGAGCAGGCATCCTCGTCAAATGGCTTTATTTTTAAGGGGAATTGTTAGACCTACCACTTCATTCAATTATGATGAACACTTTTGTAAAAGAAACCTCAACCAATAGTTCGAGGAAAGTACATTGAAAGGTACAATCCTTTCGAAATTTCAAGCTTCGCTATGAGTTCCTAAGAATCTCATCTGTCATTTTTGTGTCTTCTTTGATCGGATTGGAAGTTTTTATTCTGGATTTGTTTTATAGGGATAACTTTTTATGAGTTGTTTATTATGTTATGTTTGTTTCCTTTTTCTTTCTTTTTAATATCCACTATTTGTTTCTTCTTGAGATTATTACCAGTTTTATTGCTTGGAACAACTTGTTGTCACAGAATCCAATTTGGACTTCGACTACAAATTTTCAGGATTGTTTGTTAGGTAGTTGGCCTTCTGAGTTACTTAGTTTAAAATTTGGAAGCTCTGTACATTTATTTACTGTTCATGTGGTATTCTTCAAATTTTGAGAGACGATATGTAACCAACTGTAATTGTTTGAAATGATTTAAGAGTTCGCTTGGAGATGAGCAAAAAGACAGAAGAGAAAATATATGTAGAAAGAGAGGATCAAACAATTTATTGATGGATAATATGTAACAGAAGAACAATGAAAATTTTTACTGCAATTAAGGAGTTGTTTTTAGCAATTATTTCAGAAGCTTGTAGAGACGTGTTCTTATTGACTTGATGTGAGCAAGAAACTGGTGTATTGCATTTAAATAGCTCATAACTTTCTCGTAAAAGAAGCAGCAAGATCGGAGGGCGATGGACCTGTACTGGTATGTAAATAAGAAAAAATAAGTTGGACCCTTTCTTCTCGATTTTGTAAAGAATTAATCGCTTGCTTGATCGAAAGAAGATAACAAGAGTGAAAGAGAAAGGCGGATCTAAAGAGATGACTAGAGCGAACGAATACTTTTTGCTTGATCGATAGAGGCTACAAGAACAGGGAAAAAAGAAGAAAAAACTCGTGCAAAAAAAAGAGAACAAGAAAGGAGGAAAAAGATGACAAAAACTTGGATTTTGATTTAGAACGTATCTAAACAAATAGACGACTAAAACAAACGCAATAAAGCCGCAAACATCTGAGCATTGCGCCGACGGAGTTCCGGACCAGGGTTCGTTTTTCCATTGTCTTCCCGGAGCCAACAGTCCAAAAATCATTAGCTCCCATACGAAACGGTGGCCTGCAGGGTAGATTTTCAGACATTCTATCTCTAGTTTTCGAAAGCCAACAAGAATAAAGTACCGAAAATCACGTTGATTCTTAAAATCTGAAGCCTTTTTAAACATAGGAACTATTTATCACCTGCTATTTATAAGTTAGTCTTGCATGCTGAGAACCCAACTTGCTTGAAAATGACACAAAAAAAAAAGACAGACGCTTTACAACGGCTAACAGAGAAACAAATCATTTAACAATAGAGATTTGGTGGGGTGCGCCGGGTTCTTGCAGCAGTGCAACGCATGGACGACACTTGAAGTGCCCAATAGCAAGCTATTGTTTATGGCACTTCCCCCTCAAAAAAATAATTTAATATCATGTGAGTCGATGACCCACGTATCAGATATTAAACTGATAAGAACAGATACTACAATTGATCTTAGCCAAAAGGCCGAGAAAGGTATGATTTGATACCTTCTCCGATTCTCTTTTTAACCTTTGGTTTTAGCTCCACAAGCTCTCTCAGAATCCATGTGGGACAAAAGCACCCCTACGCTCTTCGAATATGAAGTACCGCATGCAAGTCTAGGCGTACATAATTGGTAGTATAAACAGACCAACTTTAATCCTATTTTCAGTAATTTAAAATAAAGAAATTAATTTTTTTTTCTCATTCTGCAAATTAATAAAATATATGTATAATATTATTACATCTAATAATTTTTTAATCTCATGTTTCCCTTAGTGTTATTCGGGTTGTCATTAAGATTAACGTATGCTAATTAAGGCGCCCACAAGATTTTTACCCTAACCGAAGCCGAATACTTCAACTTCATTATCAAACTTCCTTCTTTACTTGCAAGCAATATATATTAACCACACCAATACAAATATCAAGTTCCTTTTCACATAAATATCTATATGCATTATAAAAAGAAATATACAACAGCTAAATAGCTCCATTTTTGCATTAAACAAACAGAGAACAAGCATTTGGAAGTCCCCCGCCAACCTTATCAGGTTAATATCATTAACTGACGCCACCATAACCAGGTCCATATCTGCTATTATACATTCCAGCATGCAGGAGTCCCAAATACAGCAACTGACTTATGAGTGATATAATGACGAACGCTTCTAATGTTTGCTGTGAATCACCAGAGTTACTGTTTAATCAGTAAGTTCAAACTTAAAAGCAAAAGCTTGAAGATTAGCCAGTTTTGATTATGGCCAATTATACATTTCTAATGAAGTTCTTACCAAGCGTTTTCCCCTGTGTCCTCCTAATATTATCTCTTTGCACACCAAACTGTATCAAGTAAAAAAATAAATGGATAAAGGAAAGGGTACAAGAGTGCATTCTGGTTTAGCTTATAATTCTTTTTTTGTTTTAATCTTAGTTATCCTTGTGAAAAGTGTTGAGGAAGCAAAAATATACAGGATCCTATATAGGATTATATTATCGTGAAGATATACAGAATCCTATACAGGATTATATGATTAGAGAGAAAAGAAATGCATACCCAAAAGCCAGAGAAGTTACGGCTGAGGATATGAGTGCTAAAGGACCAGCACTAGCTAAACTCTCAGTTTTCCATGCCCGAAAATGGACGAACCCAGCAAACACTGAACAAGCTCCAACGGCACTAGCTATAAGTGCAAACATCAAAAGAAAGCTCGTTGACATATTCCCTCCCAAATCTGTGTAAAAGAAATGGAGCCAATCAAAGCACGAACAACGTTAAAACCCAAGTAGATAAAACCCGCATCAAGAAAGAGATCAGGGAGAGATCTTACGAGGATGGTTTTGTTCACCATTGATGTACTTGTCAAGAGACCAACCGGCTAATCCAAGTATAATAAGGTGCACAACAGAGTTTACTACTAAAACATGACCAGCTACGCCCCTTCCAACTCTTCCAATCGCCATTGATTAATCAAAGATCAGCAAGCAAAACGGTGGGTTTTCGTTTGAAGAACTAGCTCCAGAAATGCAGACAGCGTGATCATGATAAAATTTTGGTCTGTCTATAAATCTGATGAAAAGAAAAGATTGTTTTACCTTCTATTTCTAGATTAACAGACATGACCGTCACTGTCTTCACGTCGTCTTCTCTTGCAGCTCTCGAATCTTTCAGGTTGATTTTGTCGCCATGAAATGACGAGTAACTCAAGCCAATGATCAGTATGATTACGAAGTTTTGGTGTAGACTCTGGGACAGTTCTTGCCACGCGGAAGACATGCAGGGATCCACAAATAAAGGTATCTAAACAACCAACCAGAAATCAACGTGTTCCGATAAAGAAAACCTCTCTCAGGCATTTCATCGAACAGTTTTCGGTTACCTGTAACATACCGAGTGTAGTTCGCAGACATAAATATCAAATGCAATCCCAGTTTTTCATCAGCATCTCCATTAACCTCTTTGCACTCTAAAAAAAACCTGCTTTGCGTCCAATATTCCAATGGCCTAGTAATTAAAACTACGCTTTACATTCTATGTGAACAAGCATGGAGATTGTACATAATTGAAGACTTTCTCTGCAAATCGTAGGTTCCCATGAGTGCATGAGCATGTTGAGGGTCCATTCAATTCTCTCATGGAGTTCGACCCAGAATATCTTCGTAGTGGATTTGCTTATAATGGACATGGATTTTCACTTAACTCAAGAAACCGTGATTATGCTTGAATACCGAAATTGAAAACGAAAATTGTCGAACAGCTTATCTGATCAAGAGTGATGAATTTGATGCAAAATGGAACTTGACAAGACTGTTATAGAACACAAACCGTTAAAGTATCTCTATTCCATATATAAATAGATATTGATGTATACATATATTTGCCTTCACTTCGAGAGAACAACGGCGAAACAAGGAGAAAAAAAATTTGGACTATTTTTTGATCGACAATCATGACAAGAAGAGGGAAAATAAGAAGAAAAACCTTTGAACAAAGCAAATTGTTTGCTTGAGAGAGAACAACAACGGCGGAACAAAAAAGAAAAAAATTTGGACCATTTCTCGATTTGTGCGTGTCATCCTTGCGCAGGGGCCATGCTAATCTTCTCTGTATCGTTCCAATTTTATCGGATGTCTCCGAAGAGACTATTGGAGAAGCGGAGATACCTTATATAAAGCTTAGATTTTCTTTGGCCCTAAACATTGTGGGACGATTTCTGTGGGCGTTCCATAAATTCGGCCACCGGCCGATGCAGACAAAATCGGATGCGAAAAAACAAACGCTATAACCACGTGTAGGTTTAATTCCCGTTGTTCGCCCATAAACATGAATAACTAATAACTAATGGTAGATGCCCGAGACCAAGTTCTTTCTTCTTCCACTTATGCATTATATCTATTTTTTCTTAGCAAATGATGTGCTCTGAAAAGATTTTTTTGTGAACGTGTCACGGTTACCCAACTTACTATGGCGACCAATAATCAAATTCTAACTATATTTCTTCCTTTTTGGACTTCTTCCAACCATCTGAGTTCCAACCCGGACCAGGATAAACTTCTCCAGCTGCATAATTTCATTGTGTTTCGCGGCGCCAACTCTGGACCAAGATTCATTAGCTCCTCAGGAAACGGTGGTTTGCAGGGTGGATTATCGGACATTCTTTCGTTTTCAAAAGCCGAGATAGAATTTATTCACCTCAAAGGTCGACGAAATCTTGGAAGAACAATGACGACCAAAACACGAGGTCCCCGTTTCGTTGAGTAGTATCAATCGGAGGAAAAACAATCCAAACAATCGCCCTGAATGGTTTAACTTAAACCAAGCAAGTGGCACACAAAATTGTTACAGCATTTTGGTGGGGTGCGCCGGGTCCTTGCAGCAGTGCAACGCATGGACGACGCTTGAAGTGCCCAATAGCAAGCTATTGTTAAGGCACCTCCCCCTCAAAAAAGTAATTTAATATCATGTGAGTCGATGACCCACGTATCAGATATTAAACTGATAAGAACAGATACTACACTTGATCTTAGCCAAAAGGCCGAGAAAGGTATGAGCTTACCTGTTCCGGAATTCGCCTTCTTATCTCCCTTTTTAGCTCCACAATCTCTCTCCGACTCCATGTGGGACAAAAGCACCCCAACGCCTTCTTACCCAATATCACGAACGTAATCAACAAAAATAATAATGTCAATGACTTGAAATGCTGAATACTTAAACCACCTCACAAAGAACTAAGCAGTAAAAGGCAATCCCAAAATGCAGTAAAAACAAAGAAAACATTAGACAATAAAGAAACACTAACAAAAGTAAAATATCTTTATAAAAAGAGTGCGAAAAAAACAACTTTGACAAAAATTTCATTTGATCTTATAAAATACTGTAGTGTCGGGTGGTAACACTTGTAACGAAGAATTTTAAACTCGTTCGTATCACTAATTTCGTATTTAGTTCCTAAAATCTATCATCATTTTCTTTAAAATTTAAATTAAATGTACTATTCTGCATTCAAACTCATTAAAAATGTTCGTTTTATTTTCATTTTATTCTTTTAAAAAAGCAATATGATAATTTCGTCCGTCTGGAACACCACCGTAAACCCAAAAAAAATATTCAAACATACAAAATTATTTTTAGCAATAGTCTTAAATCCAATAACCATTCTCACCACCTTTAACTTGTATTCAATTGATGTGAATAGTTGAATTAGGGGGGTAGAGTCTGTAGTTTCTCTTTTCCTTGATCTAGCACGTTCAAGAGTTCTTCTTTAGTTGTGAATTGCATGAATACATCTACCTAATTCACAAATGAAATAAACTATACTAATCGCAACGTGTTCTAAGTAATCCAAATATATTTTTGTACAAAATTTTATTGCTTCAATTTGCTACGGTCGAAACCTGTTAGTATGAATTTAATAAGGTGTTTTTTCACTTTAAGGACTAGGAAAAAGACTGCTGGAGCATTCTTCTTTGAGCCCCCAAAATGAAGAAAAAGTCTGGATAGTTTACGAGCTCGCTTTCACAACTTCGATATCTCTTTACTCTAGTACCAAAACTTTATATACTCCCTCAATAATACATGCAGTCCCCAAAATACAGTGTACACTTTGAATAATTAACCAAGAATTATGTGAAGATGGTGATTCAATGAACAGCCATAACAGAAGAACGCGATGAAGTTGAAGATTGCCGGGAGTTTTGTCAATGATACCAAGGTCTTCGCAAAGTATGTTGCAGAGTGACATAGGCAGTCTTTAGGATTCATCTTTTTAAAAGAATTATTAGGAAATTCTTGGGATGATTTCCCGGACATGAAAGTCTGAAGACGATTTTCGTTGAAAAGAAAGTTAAAAAAAAAGAACACTTCCAGAATCAACTTAACATGTTCTTATAGAACTTTCAAGACTATAAAAACAACTTTCGCATTGGGATTGCAAATCCCATGATGACAATTTCAGAGTTCATTGGACAAAAGCATAGATGGGACCTTCCTCTGCAAACAACCCGCAATTGGTCCATCCTACTTCTACATCAAGATTCTAAGTCAACATGGGTACATTGAAATGGTAAAACAAAAACGTCCACACTGCAAAAATGCACGGTGAATTATACCGGCGAACTAACTTGGTTTCCGCATATTACGCCCAGCACGAATGACTTCATCTACCAATAGCAACTGTGATGCAATTACAGGCCTGCCAGAATTGTAGGTCCATTGCTGAATTAGCTCCAGAAAATGATAAATAAGAAAGAGAAATGATCCCTTACCCCCATACCCAATTTTTTGCTGCTCAAGGACATAAACAGATGCAATGCACCATGAGTCTAAGCAATCTTGTTTTCATCAGGCAGTGCAAAATTATAATCAAAGAATGTATTGCAAAGATATAGCAAAACAACAGGATAGCAAGAGTAAGAATAGAACGGTACCCATAACCCATCTCCAAATGAACAATAAGACAGGGACCTGATAAAAGATTGTATGCCCTACAAGAGCTCACATACCCTGAATTTATAATCTGGCGCTTCACAGAGTAATTATCAAAGATACCCTCCATCTGCGGATCAATGGGCTCTCCAGTATGCTGGTTTAGTCCCACAACATTGCCTCTGTCATGTTCTCCCTGAATAAACACATGCAAATGGCATCAAAAATTCTGAAAAGAATTTGTTCAACAGCTTCATTATGGCAACGGGCATACCTTTAGAGCAACGATCACATCTAGGGTGTCAAGCCCAGAGTTCTCAGCCAGTGTCTTTGGCACCACAAGAAGGGCATCAGCAAAAGCTTCAACACCCAGTTGGGCACGCTGTTCCAAATTTGTAAACATCAGAAATGCTACCAAAAATAACAAATTTAACGTTCATAATGTAGAAATAACAAATTGCAGTAGTACCCCATGAACACTTTTTTTGACTTCATTGACTAGGTACTGTCTGGCTGCAACTTCAAAAGCCCCGGCACCCTGAAAAGCAAATGGCAAACAGATCTTAGATCATATAACACAAAATCATGCATTATTTATCGGTTATTTTCCGATTCAATTTCACATAAAGATCACAAGCTAGCATTTTTCAAATTTACTCCATACATTAGGAAAACAATTTTAAATATAAATTTAAAGTCTCCTGATAGTAGATATAGAAATAAAATTTCAGATAATTATCAGTCATTTGAGATGGCTGCTGATGAGAAATTAATCAGAGGGAGCTGGCACAATGCTCTTGTAACCATTTCTTAAAGAGGCACGTGACAAATCATGCAGGAAATACTAAACTCACATAGGAGTTTGTCAGCCATGACCTTCACATAAAATTACAGGAAGCTTTTGAAATCTCTGTACTAGGAGGAACTTACCAGCACAATGCTTTCATCCTCGATAGTATTTTTGACTGCTCTTAGACCATCGCGAACAGCATCCTTAATTTGTGCAATTGTATGGTCATTAGGTCCTAACACATCACACAAGGATAAGACTACTTATGATCATCACTATCTTCTAGATGATGCATCTACCATATTACAAGTGTTAGCAAGATGCTGAAAATGAAGTGTCATAAGTACCTTTTATTAAAATTGTACAAGAATGAGGATTCTTCACATTCTCCACAAAGGTATACTTCTCTTCCCCAAGAATATGCTCATAGACTAGTCCAGCCCAGCCAAGACAATCAGGAGTTAAGTCATCAACAGAATTCACAGCTTCTCCGCCACAGGCCAAAACCAACCTTTCCATATTTCTCCTTTTGGCTCTTCTAAGTGCAACAATCTACAAAATAATTAAATAACAATGGAAACATGCAGCAAAGCAACACAAAAGACAATCATACTACAAATATTACAAAAACACATAACAATATTCAGTATAAATGCTTGGAATGAACTTTTCTAATCGATCTGTAAGTAAAGAGCTTTTTGAGTTTTCCTCTCATTAGGAACTATAACCAGAAACATTTTCAAGCTTCTTTTTTTGGTCACTTCTTTAGTTCCATTTTTTCTTCACTTGCAGGATGGGAAGAGCAGAAGCAAGACTATGTACAAGTTGAGACGTTAAGTATAATGTTAAGCAAAATTTACTGGTCTGGAAAAGTTGCATGGGATGTTCAGTAAGAGGACACATAGCCTAGTTAGATCTAATGAGGAATCTGCAGATTAAATTATTCAGTTTTTTTCATTTCATTTTTTGCCAATTGTGATTTATTTCTGTTTGTCCTATGGTCGTGGGAGTTGGGATGGCTTTTACATGTAACAAGTTCATCATGTGGATGTGGATAGTCAATCACTTCCAAAAAGAAGTGACCCATTTCCTATGAGCTTTCTTAACGAGACCTCAACAAAGAGATCAAAGGATTCTCTCTTAACAAGGCTCTATATCAGCTTTCACAGAAACATGATTTTAGAACAAAATGAAACAGAATATCATGATCTTACCTCAGCATAGCAATTGATCATATTGGTCATAAAAGCAAAATAATAAAGCTTCCCAACAAAAGTTTCCAAGAAAATGAACATAACAAAGACTCTATTTCAGCATTCACAGAAGCATGATCTTAGAGCAGAATGCAACAGAGTATGATGATCTTACAACAGCATAGCAATTGATTATATTGCTCATAAAAACTAAATAGTACAGCTTCCCAACAAAAGTTTCCAAAAAATCAAACATCCTAGAGGTATAGAGGATCCAAAATCAGTTATATTGTTTGTTATCTCAGTCACTTTCCAAAGAAACTTTCTACTTTGATCTTGTCAATTTCATCATTAGATTGGTTTCCTTTCACCTAATATCTAATCCATTCATCTATTTCAGCTGCCAGTCTTGCCTGATTCTGAACCATTACTTTATCCCCAAAACAAGAACATAGAGAAAGCATAACTGTAAAAATG